AAAAAACGCGGGCATCGCATTTTGGAGAATGAAACGTGACCGACGTCCATCTCAATCCTCTCCTCCTCGGTTTCCCCCAATCGAGGGGGGAACGAGCTGGTACAGTTTTCTTTTTCTTTTCTCTTTTTCTTTTTCAAAGGGATAATTTATTTACATCCGTTTCCTTGCACGTTATTCCAACACGATCACAGCCACTCGGTGAGGCAGCCACCGAACCACATCACCACTATGGGCACGAGGTACGTCGTCAGGGCGCGTGACAGTGATATCTTCTGTCTGCTCGCCCCGCTGTCCACGCTGGACGTGCCGTTGTTGTTGCTGTTGTTGTTATCATTGTTGTTGTTGTTGTTGTTGTTGTTGTTGTTGACGATGACGCTCGTCTTCTGATCCACCTCCACCCTCGGAGGCACCACTTCCGAATGAACGGCCGGTGGCGATTGCTTGGGGGCCTCTGGCGAATACTTTGCCTCGTACCCTGAACCCTCCTTGAAACCATCCTCGTCGTCCGTGATCGGATCTTGGTCCGTGCTGTCCCCGGATCCGCTTCCGGAACCGTTCCACTCCGTGTCCTCTGAAAATTAGAAGCGTCGCTAGCTCAATGGATGGTTAAATCTTGGGAGGGATTCTTTCTTTCAACCCTCGAGATTTGCAATTTGTTTTCTTTTTTTTTTTTTTTTTTTCTAAGCGGCATCGTTTCTTTCTGGAACGATGAAGATCGAAGATCGGGCAAGATTGGTGGGTTATCGTTTTAAACGAGAGGAGCGAAGATTTTTGAAGTCTCGCGCGCGCATGTGTGCAGATCGTCGAATTCGACAATGGATAATTTCCAATAAAATTCGTTCCGATCGCCAATACGAAAACACTCCAGAGATAAGATAAGCGAGTTATTAAATGCGGTTTGATAACTCTTGCCTCTTTTTGTATCTTGTTTTCTACGATATCGTTAATCCCGTGAATAGTTATTTTCCTTTGAAATTCAATTTCAAAATTCTACGAAAATCTACTAAATATCGAATCCACGAATAAAGTTTATCAATACGGTTCTTTTTTATTTTCGATACGTGTCTATAATTGTATATTAATTCGAGATTCAAGTTTGATTAATCAAGTTCCAATCAAATATTTTTATTCCGAGTGATATCGATTTTAATGGAAACGATAAATTAAAATTATCGGCGAAGCAATAATAAGAATAATAATAACAACTTGCCCGTATCTATCCAGTCAACGTCCTGCCCATTGTACGCGGATTTCAGTCTATTCGTGATGGTGGTCAACGCGAACACTTGGTCCCTAACGATTGTCGGTCTTGATCCCGTGCTAAGCACTTCTGGATTCAATTTCTGGTCCTCGCCATTCGACGACACCGGATAAATATATCTGGAACATAAGATTTACGATACAAACACGACTTGTATATATATAAAATACGATAATTTTAATTTACACAGACAAATCAAATTTACGATTATCTTTTTACGGCTGAGGATTGAAAAAAAAAGAAAAATGTCTTTCGAATTTGACGAAACCTACTCCAACGTAACGATTCTCTCGAAATTCTCGCGAGAATTGAGAAGGGTAAAAAAAAAAAAAAGGAAGAGAAAAAATTATCAGAAACGAAAATACTCACTTGTCGACGTGCGTGCCGTTCCAGCATTCCTTGGTGTTGCTAGGAGGCACGACAAGGCCGTCGTTGCAAATCTTGTAAGGCAGATAAACCCAAAATTGCCTCGAATCTCTTACTCTCTGCCGCGTCTCTTTCACCAATTTGTCGAGAATGGCAGCGGCCGAGACGCGATCGTCCGTCAACGTGTCCTGATCGAAATTCAACGATTCCAGCTCCAATTCCCGATTGTCCCGACGTCTGCGCCTGCCCAACACGGGCCGACCGCAGCCTGTGAACACCCTTTGAGAGACGTCGTTACTGTTCTCTTGAAAGTTCATGATCGCCTCCGAGATTTTCAAGTTGAGCGGTCGTACCAGCATCTCGATGTTGAAAGGACCCAACAGCCGGTCGGCCACTTTGTCCACGGCCTCTGAAATTCGAAATCGAGAACGACAATTACACACACAAACCCTCAATCTTGCTTCCTTCGCAAATGAAATATATTCATGATTAAATTCAATCAAGCTCGATCGTTTTTTACACTTTTAATTCTTTTAATTTCGTCCCTTCTTTCTTCCGCTCTTTCTAATTCGAAAATTCTATTAAATTTGAACGGAGCAAGATCCAAGCACGGATCTTTGATTATTTGCCGAGGCTTCTCACGCGCTCTCGCTAACGAACAAAGTACGTATATGCGTGGCCGGTCGATGGATTATATTCCCTCCCCCAGCTCTATAATTACCAGTGGAACAATGCACGTGGAAATTACTCACCGACGAAGTGATTCCATTCAGTGTCCAGAGCCGCATGCTGAGCAAGGCAACCCTTCATCACGTTGGCACACATGTCGCCGCACGCCAACACGTTGCCGGCGATCCCGCTGCACGAAGGGCAGACGGTCATCCTCGTGAGCGCGGCTGCACACTCCGCCGATGGCTTCAACTGCGAATCCACAATTTTCCAAAACTGATCCATAATTTGAAAATGTAAACGATTGCGTATTTACTCGAGCGATATTTACCGATTGCATGTTCTTCAAGACGTCGGCAGCTACGGTCAAGGCTTGGCTGAACGCCCTCGTAGCGACGAACGATCTCTTGATCTGCACCCCGAGTTTCTGCGGGGCATCGCCGAACGGTCTTATCTCTTTCATGTGCTCTCCTACGCATTCCATGTACTTATTGTCGAAATTGTACTGGCTGTTCAACACGGTGAACATTTTCTGATAGAGGGTGTTGAAGAAATTGTCCATGGTGTCGTCGAGATCCACCTGGAAATCAGTCGAAACCATAGTTGAAGGAAACGCTTTTATTTTCTGCTTTATAAAAATAAAATAGGCGGAACAATGATACACAGTTTTGGAAATAAACTGGGAGAGGAATTTCGATCGTCTATCAATCGAGCTCGATCTGAAAGTTGGGAAATCATAGTTGAAAGAAACGCTTTTATTTTCTCCTTTATAAAAATAAAATAGGCGGAACAATGATGCACAGTTTTGGAAATAAACTGGGATCGATAAACATTTCCGATCGATGAAAGATGAAGAAAAAAAAAAAAATATAAAAGTTATCTCGATCTGAAAGTTAGGAATCATTTGAAACAAAAATAAAATAGGCAGAAGAATATATATACGCAATTTTGGAAATAAACTGGGAGGGGAATTTCGATCTTTTTAATTTCTATTAATCCACTTTTCCATACTCCTCGATTCTTTTCTAAAAAAAGAGAAAAAAAAATATAAAAGTTATAATAATATCAAGGGAAGGAGAATAAAATTTTTTTGGAAGAGTTTTGGAAAGGAACTTTTCGATCCCTTAAGTTGTTTCAACTTGAAAGCGTGGATCGAAAAGAGATGGAGAGTGGAAAGAAGCCTCGATAAATTTGAATCCCTCGGCCGGCGATATATCACGGTCGCGTATAAATTCGTTATCCTGCAGCGACGCGTGCGATTGCGACAATAATATATTCATGCGGGGCCATTTTCGAGCGCGCGCCGAGAATCGAGCCGGGTCCAAGTGGCGCTCGCTGAATAATTTCCAACCGATTTGAATGACAATCGCCACCCTCTTTTTTCGCGGCATTCCTCCTTTCCTTCTTCCCCACAACCCTCCTCTCTTCTTTCGTCCTCACCACGACTCGAAATCGTCGCGTACGCTCGAGGATGCACCGATTCACGGATTAATCCTTGGAGAAAAATTCCAATTTACGAAAACTTTCTCAAACGAGAGGATGGTGATGGCGATGGCTAGCTAATTGTCACTAGATTTGTGACCTTTTTCGAGGGAAGCGTGCTACCAAGAATCAGAAAGAAGAGAGAGAGAGAGAGAGAGAGAGAGAGAGAGAGAAGAAAGATACGGAAGGGAAAC